GAACCTTTTTAAATCTCATTCCAAGATTGAGATATAATAGAAGATTTCGGTAATACAGAACGTATTTCTCTTTATTTGATAACGTTGGGATCAAGTTTGATACAAGACCTGTTGATATATTGAATTTTTCAGCTATTTGTTTACAATACGTTGACAACATGTCTTGTTTGACCTTGATCTTTTTCGGTGGAAGCGGATAATCATTATGCAAATCATGTAACTCGTCTGGGTATTCAAGATGGACTTCTAATATTAATCCCTTTTTACTTTCTTCAGTATAAACTCCAAGGTTTATTGTATCCAGTCGTTTTGTGAAAGCCATTTGAATCCTCCATTTGGAAGGTATTGTGACCTTGCCCAACCGTAGAGATTATTGGCATCGAGGTACATTATATATTTCGAAGGTTCATTCTCATTACAATCTTTCATTTATTTGTTATTCGCTTTTCCACATCGATTAGCAATATGACTTATTCCTCCTCTCAAAGCTTTTTCAATGAATTGATACATGTAAACATCAGTCATGAATTCAAGTTTAATGCTAATCATTTTTAGCATAGCATCCCAAGATAATCCAAGACCTGAGAAATAATGACAAGGATCGAGTTTGTAATATTGATGACAAGTTTGTCTGAAATTCTCAAACACATCAGCGAACAACAATATGTCAGACTTAAGGTAGAGAGCGTGATAATCACCCATGGTTTTTTAATTGAATTTTCTCCATACATTTTGAGCATGTTTATTTTCATCATCTGAAATGTGTCCATTATTCAATACGCTGTAAAATTCATTGTTGGTCGGCAATTCTGTTTTATTGAATTTATCAAAGCTGTCCATGTAATCGTAAGGATAAACACCTTTTTGAGTCATGAGGTCGACTTTTTTATTGTTAAATCTTTCTGATGTATATTTGAAAGCTTCTTTAGGAAGATTATCGACTAGTTTATCAAGACTTGAGCTTATGAATTGGAAACTATCAATGAAAGTAAGATGATTGTAAGATGGTCTTCAGTTGTTGTGTCAAATTTTAATTGGTGATTATAGCAATTAAAATTTGACACAAGAACTAAAGACCAGAGGAGTACAGAGGGGAGAAGAAGACACCGAAATATAACTTGGTATAACCCACCTTTTAGTAAGAACGTTGCTACTAACGTGGGAAAAAAATTTTAGGCATCGTAAAAGAATCCTTTTCATCAGGGCACCCGCTAAGAAAAAATTTAATAGGAACACTTTAAAAGTGAGCTATTCATGCATGCCAACTTTAGAAAGAAAAATCAACGCCCACAACAAGTCCTCCCTCGCAAATAACTCTCAATCACAAGAAAAATCGTGCAATTGTAGAGACAAGCACTCTTGTCCGCTACGTGGCAATTGCCTAATTCAAAATGTGGCCTACCAGGCCACAGTGGAAAGTCACTTGGGAACCCAAACGTACGTCGGCCTTACTGCGAACCAATTTAAAACAAGATTTAGAAACCATACAGCTTCATTAAGACACGAGAAGAAAAGGAACGCAACAGAGTTGAGCAAATATATCTGGTCCCTATAGGATGCTGAAACGGAGTTTTCCGTGACCTGGAAAATAATGGCTCGCGCCAGGCCGTACTCAATACTACAAAGAGATGCAATCTTTGCATAACTGAAAAATTCTTCATCATATGCAGAACAGGGGCGGGCACCCTAAACAAAAGGAACGAACTGGCGAGTGCGTGCCAGCACTCAACTAAACTAAACCACCATCTTAAAAAAGGATCGTTAGTCAACCAGTATCTTATGCACCTGACGAGAGAGGACTTTTTAACCCTTTCGGTACAGATCTGTAGCGCGAAGGTTTAACTTTTATTTTCCTATACAATTGTTTACAAAGCTCCATGATTGTAGAGCAGTCTCCGATTCGAGGATAAGGTCTTTTACGTTTTTATACTATATGTAGATATATTTTTGCCATATTTTATATATGTGATTTTTCTTTAAGTGTTTTTCGATTTTGTGATCTGGTATTTTCCATACTCATATTCTATATACGTGATTTTTCTTTAAGTGTTTTGTTTCGGGGATTCCCCAAATTTGAACTGGTTTTAGATCCGCCATTTTCAATTTTCGTGAGTCTGCGTTTTTGCATTCCGACTTCGTTGAAAATATTTTTCAATATAGTTTTCAAATTTCTGGAGTTTTATTTTTCAAATTTTTAGAAAACAGTTTTTAGATTGAGACTTTTTATATCATCCTTTTTTTTTATTTTGAGCCCCCTGAGAACTGTGCTGAAACCCCCATTTACTCTACTACTTCCTCCTCCTCCTTCTGGTCCTCCTTCTGGTCCTCCTCCTCCTGCTCTTTCCTCTTCCTTCCCCCTCCTCTTTCCTCCTCCTCCTCCTCCTCCCTTCTCTTTCCTCCTCCTCCTCCCCCCTTCTCTTTCCTCCGCCTCCTCCCGCTCTTTCCTCCTCCTCTCCCTCTTTCTTGTTCTCTTCTCCTCCTTCTCTCTAACCCTTACCCT